ATAAAAAATTGGACCGAAATTTGCATATTTTAACTGGAAAACTGTAATCGGAAATGGAAATAGCCGAAAATCGATAAAAAAATTAACCAAAATTTGCATATTTTAACTGGGAAACTGTAAACTGAAAATAGCAAAATCAGAAAATCGATAAAAAAAAATAACCGAAATTTGAATATAGCGATTGTAAAAAAATTAGCATGAAGCTGAACGGCTTTTCATATTTCACATTTCTAAGCAATCTTTGAAAGAGTGAACCATCAGCAGCTTGGAGCTGACCAGTGGTCACTACTGGATCCTATCTAGTGCCAGCAGCAAGCCAAAACTTTCAGGCATTTCGTGGAGGAGGAAATGTCGTGAGGGAATGAGGTAAGTTTGAATCTTCCAGATTGTTAACTGGTAAAAAAAGATTGGGAGGATGTATGTATGCACAATTCAAAAACATCCTTGCAATTCTCAAGAGGGCTACAAAAAAGAACTTTGCCAGATGAGGTTAGCCAGAAGAGCTTTCTCCAAATGATGATGCAAATGTGTTCCTGGTTTTTTTTTTTTTCAGTTAAAAAACAAAAGCAATCTTGAAATGCACATTGTTCAGGAGTTAGGGAAAATAAACAGATTGTACCAACCAGGTTGATCCAGGAAGACTAAATGGCGAAGGCGCGACAGATTACAATATGAGAGGAGATAAGAGTGAGATAAGACGTTTCGGTGCATTAAGTTTATATAGACCTTAGTAGGGCATGTTTTGTATGCCGACAACTTCTGGACATTGTGCATTAGTGAGTTATATACATGAGAAAGTAAACAACCACTCGGGTAGCCCTCACAGACATCGAACAGGCGGTGGGTACTAACTGAAGATACGCAGCACAGGATCGAAGGACCTGGAACTGCTGCGCTAGGCGTACAGGAACATCCCAGTAACATCACTAACATGGAATATAATCACCCCGATTGTCCTGGGCAGTTTTGATTTCTTTGATATGAGGGGTAAAATAAGAGTAAAATAAATATAACCGCAGCTACCAATCAGTCGAAATAATTACCCATTTTCGCTATAAAATGTTGTGGGAGCTGGAAATTCCAGGATCCAAAACTCAGGAACTCAGTCTAATTTTGGATTTGGGACATAGGTCAGGGAAATGGCAAGATCCGCGAACCGGCTCTATGGAATTTTTTTTTTTTCTCAGATTAACCGATAGATTAAAATATCAAAATTTCCCAGTCGATAACTTACCTCATTCTCGAGTTACAAATTTTTCGTGGACTCAAACTTGAGATTATAGGCCAAGATAGAGCAGATTTGAAGGCTGATTTCAGCACGCTTATTTCAAATTACTTAACAAATAAATCTGTTAATTTGTAGATTTTCAGATTATCGAATGCAAAAGAATTAGATTGAACTTGGATTAGATTTGGATTTGAATTAGACTGTACTTGGATTTGAATTCACAGATCCGGATATATTAAGAGTGGAGCCTCATTTTGAGATAAAATACTTAAAAATGCAAAAAGAATCCCTCAAAAATTTCGATCCTGCAGCTTTCAAATTTTTTGAATCTCAAATCGGCCTGGGTCTGATATTTTTAGCCTGCAATCAAAAAATGCCCCAAAATTTTCTACACAGATGTCCGAGACCCAAAACTAGCCCAGGGGCCCAATACTTTTGCTTACAATCTACCAAAACAGCACGAAATCGAAGATGATGGAACCACAAATCCGAGGATTAATATAGCAATATCAGAGAAGCAGCTGCCCTGTGTCTCATCCCTTAGCTGTAAAAGTTTAACACTGATTGAGAGATTTCCGGTGAGTGCCAGGTATCCTGATCACCAACCGGCGATATTTAGCAACGGTCACAGCAACACGGAGAAGTGAACAAATTTTTGAGCACTTACATCATATTTGTAACGGAAGTAATAGAGCGCAACGAAAACAACACGTGTTCGAAGGTGAACTGCACAGTGAAGAAAAGAAAAACAGGAGAAACCTTTAAATATTTTTACCCTTCCCCCTCCCCCTTCCCCCCAGGAACAAAGTCCCAGAACAGGGTCTGGGTACCCAAACGGATCCCCCGGGGAATCAGCCAAAAAATCCCGAGATTTTTCGGTCCCTCTGGGACGTCCCACATTTAAGCTTTGGCCCACATTTAACCACTACAAACAATTGGGACCCAACCCCGTCCCACTGT